GTTAAAGTCATCTATTGATAAGATAAAAATGCAATTAATGAATGGTCCAATTCTAAAACAAATGGGTTGGACATGAATCCAATATGGAAAATATAATATAAATAAACAAATAAATAAACATCCCCATAAATTGATCAATTTAGATAAATAAATGCAATTAATAAATGGTCAAATAAAAAAGAAAATGGTTGGAAATGAATCCAATATGGAAAATATCATAGACAAATTAGTATAGAAACATCAATGTGCTAAAAATGCAGCAATTAGGTCATAAAAGGTGACAATATTTTAGATTTCTTATCATCCCTGTTAGACTCTCTATTGTTTTTTTTATGAGAATACAATAGATAATTAAAGGCATCTGTGAGTAAGGTAAAAATGCAATTAACAATTGGTCAAATTCTAAAACAAATGGGTTGGAAATGAGTCCACTATGGAAAATATAATAGAAATAGACAAATAAGTATAAAAACATCTCCATAAATGAATCAATGTGCTAAAAATGCACCAATTAGATCATAAAAGGTGACGATATTTTAGATTTCTTATCGTCTCTGTGAGACTCTCTATTGTTTTTTTTAATGAGAATAGAATAGAGTTAAAGGCATCCATGAATAAGATAAAAAATGCAATTATTCAATCATCAAATTCAAAAACAAATGGGTTGGAAATTAATACAATATGGAAAATATAATAGAAATAGACAAATAAGTAGAGAAACATCTCCATAAATGAATCAATGTGCTAAAATGCACCAATTAGATCATAAAAGGTGACAATATTTTAGATTAGATCTCTATTGTTTTCTTTAATGAGAAAACAATAGAGAGTTAAAGGCATCTGTGAATAAGATAAAAATGCAATTGATAAATGGTAGAACAAAAAAAAAAATGGTTGGAAATGAATCCAATATGGAAACTATCATAGACAAATAAATATAGAAACATCAATGAGCTAAAAATGCACCAATTAGATCATAAAAGGTGACAATATTTTAGATTTCTTCTCGTCCCTGTTATATTTTTTCAGTTTTTTTTATTAAGATACATTAGAGACTTAAAGGCATCTATGAATAAGATAAATAATAAAAATAATAAATAGATTAAAAAAATAAGATAAATAATTAAATTAATAAATGCTCAAATAAAAATAAAAATAGTTGAAAATGAATCCAATATCAAAAATATCATTGATATAGGCAAAGGGGATATGATTATAGGTGGAAATCTAAATAAAGTTGTTACTTTTTCACAATTAATAAATGCTCAAATAAAAATAAAATGACTTGGAAATGAATCTAATATAAAAAATATAATTAATATAGGCAAAGGGGATATGATTATAGGTGGATATCTAAATAAAGTTGTCACTTTTCACAATTAATAAATGCTCAAATAAAAATATAAATAGTTGAAAATGAATCCAATAGCTAAAATATAATTAATATAATTATGCAAAGGGGACATGATTATAGGTGGAAATCTAGATAAAGTTGTCACTTTTTATCATTTAATTAGTGACTGTTAGCATATTGATTCATATAAATTACATACAGAATGCTTATTTTTCCTCATCAGATGGTTATCAATTTTTATAAATTCATATGATGTGATTTTCTGGAATTTTCTTTGGGATTCTGTCTTTCACTGTTAGAATGTACATATGATTAAAGTTATAGATCGTTGCATTCTTTGTAAGTGGGCAAACCTGCAAAATCAGCAAGGGCTCAAATACTTATTTCCCCCACTGTATATATACATATATAAATACATTAAAATTAAGTTAAAATTAGTTGAAAATGAATCCAATAGCAAAAATATAATTAATATAGGCAAAGGGGATATGATTATAGGTGGAAATCTAAATAAAGTTGTCACTTTTTACCGTTTAATTAGTGACTGATTCATATAAATGACATACATTTAGACATATAAATACATTAAAACAACCACCACACCTCGTTTAATTAGCGACTGTTAGCATATTGATTCATATAAATTACATTCATATACACATATAAATACAATAAAACCCCCCCATAATGTCTTCTTCTCCTCCAGGTAGCTCGGTGTTTATAGGTGGAAATCTAGATAAAGTTGTCACTTTTTATCGTTTAATTAGTGACTGTTAGCATATAAATTACATTCATATACACATATAAATACAATAAAACCCCCCCATAATGGCTTCTTCTTCTCCAGGTAGCTCGGTGTTGATAGGTGGAAATCTAAATAAAGTTGTCACTTTTTATCGTTTAATTAGTGACTGTTAGCATATAAATTACGTACATTTACACATATAAATACAATAAAACCACACCATGATGGCTTCTTCTATGGCTTCTTCTTCTCCAGGTAGCTCGGTGTTGATAGGTGGAAATCTAGATAAAGTTGTCACTTTTTCACAATAAATGCTCAAATAAAAATTAAAATAGTTGAAAATGAATCTAATATAAAAAATATAACTAATATAGGCAAAGGGGATATGATTATAGGTGGAAACCTAAATAAAGTTGTCACTTTTTCACAATAAATAAATGCTCAAATAAAAATAAAAATGGTTGGAAATGAATCTAATATAAAAAATATAATTAATATAGGCAAAGGGGACATTATTATAGGTGGAAATCTAAATAAAGTTGTCACTTTTTACCGTTTAATAAGTGCTCAAATAAAAATAAAATTAGTTGGAAATGAATCTAATATGGAAAATATCATAGACAAATAGATATAAAAACATCAATGAGCTAAAAATGCACCAAATAGATCATAAAAGGTGACAATATTTTAGATTTCTTATCATCCCTGTTAGACTGTCTATTGTTGTTTTTTATGAGAAAACAATAGAGACTTAAAGGCATCTAGGAGTAAGATAAAAATGCAATTAATAAATGGTCAACTAAAAATATGGATTGGAAATGAATCCAATATGGACAATATAATAGAAATAAACAAATAAATATAAAAACATCCCCATAAATTGATCAATTTAGATAAATAAATGCAATTAATAAATGGTCAAATAAAAAAAAATTTGTTGGAAATGAATCCAATAGCTAAAATATAATTAATATAGGCAAAGGGACATGATTATAGGGGGAAATCACACTTTTTACCGTTTTATTAGCGAATTGTTAGCATATGGATTCATATAAATGACATACATTTACACATATAAATACATTAAACCCCCCCTGAATGGCTTCTTCTCCTCCAGGTAGCTCTGTGTTTATAGGTGGAAATCTAGATAAAGTTGTCACTTTTTATCATTTAATTAGCGACTGTTAGCATATGGATTCATATAAATTACATACATATACACATATAAATACATTAAACCCCCCCTGAATGGCTTCTTCTTCTCCAGGTAGCTCGGTGTTTATAGGTGTAAATCTAAAGAAAGTTGTCACTTTTTCACAATAAATGCTCAAATAAAAATAAAAATAGTTGGAAATTAATCTAATATAAAAAATATAACTAATATCGGCAAAGGGACATGATTATAGGGGGAAATCACACTTTTTACAGTTTTATTAGCGAATTGTTAGCATATGGATTCATATAAATGGCATACATATACACATATAACTACATTAAAACCCCCCCGAATGTCTTCTTCTATGGTTTCTTCTTCTCCAGGTAGCTCGGTGTTTATAGGTGGAAATCTAGATAAAGTTTTCACTTTTTACCGTTTAATTAGCGACTGTTAGCATATGGATTCATATAAATGACATACATTTACACATATAAATACATTAAAACCCCCCCTGAATGGCTTCTTCTCCTCCAGGTAGCTAGGTGTTGATAGGTGGAAATCTAAATAAAGTTGTCACTTTTTACGGTTTAATTACTGACTGTTAGCATATAAATTACGTACATTTACACATATAAATACAATAAAACCACACCATGATGTCTTCTTC